CTTAAGTAGATGATTAATGATTTATGAATGATTATTCCTCTTTACCACACGGGGTCAGTCTTGTTCTGTGTTTGTTCAGCCCAAAGGCCACTGATTTAAAGCATCACAAGTTTAACAATGATCATGCTGGATAGTAAAATAAAATAAATAAATAAAATAAAGGTTCCTTCATTAATTCAACAGATTTTTTGGGGGGAATTCATTAGTTGAACTAAAATTTAGTTCCCTGGTCTTGGAGAGCAGAATAGTGAATGTAACGCAACACTTAAAGTGTGTAATCAAGTGAGAATAAAAACTACACTGAGACAGCGTTTTAATCAACAATGAAACTAAGTTTTTGAAAAACAAAAACAACTTCAGAGATGGTTGGTAGAGATGGAGAGGTTTTTTTGAATGTCCAGAGGACCAGACTTAACTTTTTTAGATTTTTCTACCTGTATTATTGAGCATGCATCAGGAACTTTAGAGATGCTTAAAATTATCATAAAGTAGCTATTTGTTCGATGGCAATGATAGTTTAGACCTTCAAGTCCTTAACATGGAACCTCCCTGCCTATTTATTTGTTGCTTTTAGCTTTTGAATATTTATCTGAATTTTACTAAAACTCCTGCATGAAATGGAATCAATGTTTATTATTTACATTGCAATATTTGTATCAACTTTTCCTGCATGCTGCTCTGCCTGCAAGAGGAAGACAGCAGCATATTGATGATAAAACTTAAAAAAAAAAAAAAAAAAAATCTTACTCTATTCAGCTCTTCTTTTCCTCGAGTAGGCACTTTTTAAAAACCGTGTCATCTATGAAAACATAAAATTGTGCAGAGAAACCATTCTGATAGCTTTTACTTCCAAAAAACTTCAAGGAGAGGTTGGGTTTTCACACACCACACTGTAGAAGTAATCTAGTCTCAAAATTATATATTAAAAAAGGATTAAAGAAGTGAGAGACCTGTAAAAAACATATTTGTATGGAGTTTATGGATGTAAATAAACACATCACTGTTGGTCCATTCCTCTGTGTTTAGAGACTAATCTTATGTTAAGTTTGAACAATGTATACATTCATTTTAATACCAGCAGCATATTGAGTTGACAATTAGAACTATAGAATTTTAAACTTCTGACTTCTTAAAATAATCTAAGTTGTTATGTGGAATAATACATTAAGGCCGAGGTGGAAGCATTTAGTCATTTCCATCTTAACGTACTGAAAATATGCTTGATGAAAATTGGCTGCAACAGTAAAAACAGAGTTTTGACTCAATATTTGTAAGGTACAGAGAAGCAGCATGACTTTGTAAGTCTGATGGAAATAAAGGTTAGGCTCGACTCGAACAAGAAAACCAACGTAACTTTTCACTATAAATCTGAATTCAGTGAGCTTCTCTCATTACACATGATGGAACATGAAAGGTCCACATTGGTTTTGTAAATGGGAAAACAACTTTTTTTGAAGTTTTGGTGATTTGTTAGTTCATGGCGTCAAACTGGGTCTTGTGTGGAGCGATGGAAGTGTGGTGACAGCATGGTGAAGCATGGTAGTAGCATGGTGGAAGTGTGGTGGAAGCATGGTGACAGCGTGGTGGAAGTGTTGTGGAAAAGTGGTGGCAGCATAGTGCAAGCATGGTGGCAGTGTGGTAGAAGTGTGGTGGCAGTGTGGTGGCAGTGTGGTGGAAGTGTGATGCAGCATGGTGGCAGCGTAGTGGGAGTGTAGTGGAAGCATGGTTGAAACATGGTGGCAACATGGTGGCAGCGTGGTGGAAGCATGGTGGCAGCATGGTGGCAGAGTGGTGGCAGCATGGTGACAGTGTGGTGGAAGCATGGTGGAAGCATGGTGGAAGAGTTTTGGCAGTGTGGTGGAAATATGGTGGCAGCATATTGGAAGTGTGCTGGAAGCCTGGTGGAAGCATGGGGGCAGCATAGTAGAAGTGTGACAGAAGTGTGGTGGCAGCATGGTGGAAGCCTGGTGGAAGTGGGGTAGCAGCATGATGGCAGCATGGTATAAGCGTGGTGTTGTGGCAGCATAGTGGAAGCATGGTGGAAGCGTGGTGGCAGCGTAGTGCAAGCGTGGCGGTAACGTGGTGGAAGCATGGCAGCAGTGTGATGGCAGAGTGGTGGAAGCATGTGGCAGCATGGTGGCAGTATTGTGGAAGCGGGGTGGCAGCATGATGGCAGCACGCATGGTGGTAGCATGTTGGAAGCAAGGTGGCAGCATAGTGCAAGCGTGGCAGCAGGTGGTGGAAGCTTAGCAGCAGTGTGGTGGCAGAGTAGTGGCATCATGGTGGCAGCATGATAGCAGCATGGTGGAAGTGTGGTGGCAGCGTGGTGGCATAGTGGAGGCAGTGTGTTGGCAGTGTGGTGGAAGCATGGTGGCAGCATAGTGGAAGTGTGACAGAAGCGTGGTGGAAGTGTGGTGTAAGCATGGTGTTAGTGTGGTGGCAGCGTGATGGCAGCATGGTGGAAGTGGGGTGGCAGCATGGAAGCCTGGTGGCAGCATAGTGCAAGCGTGGCAGCAGCGTGGCAGCAGCGTGGCAGCAGCGTGGCAGCAGC